ATAAATAAATAATCGAGGAGCTGGTGAGATGGCTCAGTGGTCTAAAGCACCTACTTAGAACAAGCTTAGCAAAGCACAGAGACCCCGGTTCAATCCCCCAGCACCACATGCCAGCCAGCCCCGCCCCCTCGTGGGCTGAGCTGGCCACACACACACACACACACACACACAAATAAGTAAAATGTTTTAAAAAAGAGAATTATAAATAATTGAGAGTGAGGCTAGGGCCACTTGACAGGCATGTTGGGAATGCCTCTTCTCTACCAGCCCCCTAGTCAAGAAGAGGTGTTACAGTAACTCCATCCTACAGGTAAGGGCAGGAAGGGGCAGGGTCCAGGGCCACCAGTGAATAAGAAACAGCAAAAATGTCAGCCATGGTGGCGCATGCCTGTGACCCTTGCCCTAAGGAGGCTGGGGCAGGGTGGAGGCCTGTGTGGCTACTCAGTGTGTTCAAGGTTAGCTTGCACTGCATAGCGAGCCCTGCCTCAGGAAAAAAAAAAAAAAAAAAAAATCCAGCAAGAATCGAGAGTCTGGTTCTGGAAGCCTGATACTGGGGACTGAATCTGCCGCCTTTACACTGAACTATATCCACAACAGCACCCCTCCCCCCAATTTATTTCAAGACAGGCACCAAGTTCCCCAGGCTGGGCTCAAGCTTGTGGCCTCCAGCTTCAGCCTTCCTCAGTTCTGGGAATACAGGTATGGGCCACCATGCCCAGTCAGGGGCCACATGTTTACACAAAAGATCCCAGGGCTTTGACGCCAAGTGAAGGAGGAGTTGCAGCTTCATCCCTGTATGCTGGGAAGAGATGTCTCTGACAAGTCAGTTACAAAGAGCAGCAGTGGGTGGCCCAGCGGGCTCCGTGCACAGGAGACCAGGAGGCAGCGGCCCAGGGTGGAGCCCTCCACCACAGAGGTGTGCGGCACAGGGGTGAGAACAGACCCCCTCCTTTGGGTGGCCTCACTCAGTGCTGAGTGCTGCCCATGGCTCTGAGTTATCACAGATATGCTGAGAGCTCTCATTTTCCTGGGTTTTTTTTCTTTATACTGCCAACAGACTTACTTATTTTTTGTCGTTTTGAGACAGGATCTCACTATGCAGTTCAGGCTGGCCTTGAATTTGCAATGATCCTCCTGCCTGATTTATTTTTTAAAGGATAAATGAAGAGAAACAAAACACATGGGGCACAGAATTATGGAATGGAAAATACATGAGCTGTTTTGCTAAATGTTCTCTAGCCACACCAACTAGAAACGCCCTGTACACAACACAGAGAAGGTGCGAAGATCGAGGTATTCCCTCAGCAAAGCCGAAGATTGCAGTTTCTGTGTTGGGAATTTCGGCCGCAGCCCTGGCTACGTGGCCCAGCTAGAAGTAGCTGACGTGTTTGGCCTCACATGTCACAACGCAGTGGCCAGTGGCATTATGCCTCGACCGGGGTTCCTTCTGACACAGCTGCGTTTCTGCTCTCCGCCTTCAGGCAGCACATGTTCACCCCGGAGCAGAGGCTGCCGGCCAGGCCGGAGCTGCGGGAGCTCGCGAGCGTCCAGCTCCCGCGTCGGTTCTGTCTAACTTGATAGTAACTTTAAGTTGCTCATGCCAAAGACTCCAGAGTCCTCTCTCTTTCCCTAGCCTGAGGCTTGAAGTCAGGTCTCTGCACTGAGCTGCGTTCCCACTCTCCCCACTACCCCTTTTTTACTTTGAGATAGTATCTCAATAAATCACTCACTTGCCACGCTGGCCTCAGCCTCTCAGAGTGCTGGGGAGCCAGCCATTCGCTGCCACATTCGGTCTCTGTCTCTGTCTTTTCTTTTTCCCTTGCGGAGGCTCTGTCCTTACTATACAAGTCCGGCTGGCTTTGAACTTATGTAGCCCAAGCTGGCCTTGAACTTTTTTTTTAATGTATGTGGTACAGGATCTCACTGCGCAGCTTGCTCTCATAATGATCTTTCTGTTTTCAGCCTCCCCAGCGCTGGGATTACAGGTGTGTGCCAGCACGCCTGCACTCTAGTCAGCTCACTGTGGCCGGGGTTAGAGCCGGCATGGCTCGTGGTGCCACGGATTGAACCCCAATCCCTGCACTTTCCTAGGCAGGCACTTAGTCTGCTGAGCGATCTCACTGGCCCACAAGCCTTGAACTTGAGCTTCCTTCCTAATATACATCTAATCTGCCAGCAAAGCGTCGCTGATTCTACCTTGGATGGCAGGTGTAATCCAGGCACCCAGGAGGCTGCGGCAAGAGGACTACAATTTCAGACCAACCTGAGTTCTGTACAAATTGAGAGCACTGTTCCTGCTCCATCCAAGAGGAAAAGATAGGGGCCGGGAAGATGGCTCAGTAGGATAAGCACTTGACTGGCAAACGCAAGGATCTGAGTTCAATCCCCGGTTCCGCAAAAATTAAAAAAAAAAAAAAAAAAGAAGGAAAAGATATACCCAGAACCTAACCACTGGGGGCTGGTGGGATGGCTCAGTGGTCTAAAGCACCTACTTAGAACAAGCTTAGCAAGCACAGGGACCGGGGTTCAATCCCCCAGCACCACATGCCAGCCAGCCCTGCCCCCTGGTGGGCTGAGCTGGCCACACACACACACAAATAAATAAATAAATGTTTAAAAAAAAAAAGACCAATTCCTAATACCTTCAGGCTTCACCCAGATGGTTAAAACCAATATAATAAAGGATGAGAATGACATCTGATTTATAAGATTACAATAAACTCAGTTTAAAAAAAAAAAAAGAATTAAAAAAAAAAAGAACCTAACCACTGGGCACTCCTTCACCCACCGCTCCCACGCTGTCTGAGGCACCACGTGTCACCTAGACTGTCACACTGCAGAGGTTCTCACCACTGGGGGTTAAAATCCCAGGTGACATTTAACAGTATCTTTTTATTTTATTATTATTATTATTATTATTATTATTTTTTTTTTTTTTGCAGAACCGGGGATTGGACTCAGGCCCTTGCGCTTGCCAGGGAAGCGCTTATTCCACTGAGCCATCTCCCCGGCTCCCTAACAGTATCTTTTTAGAAATTATAAAATCAGGGCAGAAATTAATGAAATTGAAACAAACAAAAACAATACATATCTCAGGATAAATCCTGAGGGGATCTGATTGACCTTATCAGACCAAAAGCTACAACTCTTGTTGCTTTATCTTGGTCTTAACCATCCAGCAGAAAAGTATAAAAACGAAGTATAAGAAGTAAAGCCATGCTGTTATGTTGAGCTGTAGGGGACTCAGGGCAACAATTTCTGACACTGCCAGTGAAGCAGAAAACCCAATACTATTATGGGCTACTGGACTCTTTTAGAATATTTTGCTGAGTTGACACACCTATAATATTCAAATAATGGAACTAAACAAAAAAGGGGATACAGATGAATGTCCATTTTGTATCTGTGTATTCAAAATGGTTAGGATAGATATATAGTTACATTCTCTTAATGAATAGAGGGATTTGTTCTAAAAGTGTTTGTAAATAGGTATCATGTCCGCATCTTGTACAGCAAATAACCACTAGGAAGAATGTATGCAGTGTGTTAATTATTGAAACTGTCCTACCAATTTGATTTGAAACTGTCTCATTGCTATTTTTTTTAAATAATTTTATTTATTTGTGTGTGTGTGTGTGTGTGTGTGTGTGGCCAGCTCAGCCCACCAGGGGGCAGGCTGGCTGGCATGTGGTGCTGGGGGATTGAACCGCAGTCCCTGTGCTTTGCTAAGCTTGTTCTAAGTAGGTGCTTTAGACCACTGAGCCATCTCACCAGCCCTCTCATTGCTATTTGTTTCTCAATAAAATTATGGGGAAAAAAACCCAATACATAAGCACTTGCCTGGCTAGTACAAGGTCCCAACTTTGATCTCCCATCCCACAAAAAAAAAAAAAAAAAAAAAAAGGAAAGAATGAGTCAAAGAACTGGTTCTTTGAAAGAACAAACAAAATATACACCAAAAATAAAATAAGAAGAGCCTATAATAGTGCACACCTAAAATCCCAGCACTAGGGAGTTTGAGGCAGGAGGATCTTCATGAGTTCCAAGCTAGCCTGGGTTATGTAGTGAGTTCAAAACTAGCCTGACGGCTGAGGAGATAGCTCAGTAGAATAAGCACTTGCCTGGCAAGCTCAGGTCCTGAGTTCAATCCCCAGTACCGTAAAAAAACAAAAGCGCAAGGGCCTGAGTTCAATTCCCAGTACTGAAAAAAAAACAAAACAAAACGGAAATAGACCCAAAATCATGTAATGCAATTACAAAGGAGAAGGGTAAAATTACAATGGACACCTCAGAAATCTAGAAGATAATTAGTAAC